AGATTTAAGCAGCTTTTAACTCTCTCTTTTCTCTAACAGTGTTAGAAGTCTGTGATTCTCCAAATATGCCTAGATTTAAAGCTGATTTAATTTATGGAAAAATCACCCTTCAGGCTTTTCTTTTTCAAATCTCCTAAATGGTAGTATGATGTAGCATAGTAGTAGGAGATTTGGTCTGGGAGTTTGGACACCAGGGTTCTAGCTGCAGCTTTGCTTCCAATGTGACCTTGAACAAGTCTTTTAAACTCTGGGCTTCAGAATTTATTGCTTGTAAAGTGAAGAGATTGGAATGATGCCTGAAACTGCATCCAACTTTAAAACCGACCTGATGACCTTCTTCTACTTGTACAAGACTAAACTGCCTAGAACAGACTCCTTCTTCATTGTTTTTGTACCACATTTTTACTTGGTTTTGTTAAAGTTTCCTCAAGCACTGATTTGTCCAGGATCGAGCTCTGTTTGACCTGTTCTGCTAGTATAGTAAGCTGGCTCCCTGATGGGGGAAGTGAGAGGGAGAGGAGCTGGCTGGCTGGTTGCTTAGAAACCATGCTTGATATCTAAATAGAAGTGGGTGCCAAAGTCTGAAAGTCACCCAGCCTGTGAAGTGAAAGCTCACAAATTTGGGTTCTAAAGGGAAGCTGCTGACACAGAAAGCCTAGGGATTCTGTGGAAGAACAGGTTGTCAGGCATTTACCTTATTACCACTCAAATACCAGTGTGTGTGGAGGTGGGGGGCAAGAGTGGGGAGAGGGGTAGATGACAGTATGTGATTCAAGTGGTAGCTTTAAGAGGAAAGAGCTCCCCTTATTTTCTTCTCTGAGCTAGACTCAGCTAGGGATCTAAGATATACTCCTCTGACTACAAAAGGAACAGTATCATGTAGATTTTTTGCAGTTGGAGAAGTGGGTTGTTGGGTGTGTTAAGGCTGGGATGAAGAAGGGCTGGGCAGTACTCTTCTGGAAAGGCTCACCTAGCATAAACCTGCTTGTCTCCCTTACTAGTGGAGGTATCTGGGTGTGAACAGTGAAGGTAAAGAGTGGTATAGAACCGTGCAGCTCTATCTGTCACAAATTGGTCTTATGTAGAAACTTTTGCTGAGTCTTTAACTCTTTTGCCTTTCTCTTCTTTTCTGAGACAGAGTCTTGCTTTGTTGCTGAGGCTGGAGTGCAGTTTCATTATCGCACTTACTGCAGCTTTAAGCTCCTAGGCTCAAGTAACTGTCCCACCTCAGTCTCCCGAGTAGCTGGGACAATGGCGTGCACTATGATGCTTGGCTAATTTTTTTATTTTTGTAGAGATGAGGTCTTGCTATATTGCCCAGACTGGGCTTGAACTCCTGGGGTCAATCAATCTAGGACGTAAATTACAAATAAGATGCTAATCTGTGGTTTCAAGCCCCAGACCTCTTGAATAGTGATGCCTGTCTGTCTGTGTCAGGACATAGGAAGCCTATGTCTAGTCTGGTGCCTTTAAACCAGGCCATCTCCTACTTTTGAAAATGACTCAAAAGTTGAGCTTTCTTTTAAAAACTAAAAGTTCAAAATCAGTGGTGGCATGAGGGCTTATTTATTTTTTTAAAGTGCTTAAGGCTTGGTTTTAGAGTTTCTAAGAGACCTAGTGGAAATTGCTATTATGAAAAGCATTACCCATGCTATTATGCAAAGATTAAGAACTCTAGCTAAAGATAGGTGTCCAGCTTCAAGGAAAAGTTGGGTTTTTAGGGACCAGGAAGCATTAAAGGCATAGAAACTTTACATTTTGGGGTCACTTTGTTGAGTGGGTGAAGTGAGGGATTTGGTCTTGATATTTGGCTGCCCCATCTGTGTGTGGGAGCTCAAAGCTAAAAATAACCCACTGCAGGTAAATTAGAGGAGGGCAACTCTTGTTCTTCTGTGAAATGCTAACAGGCTATCTGTTTTCTGAGTGGGAGCCCAGATAATGTGAGCTGGTAAAGGGTATTGGGAAAGTGCCAAGAAATCCTAAGCTTTTGGTTTGTAACCATTATGAAAAGTTCATGAACATGTCAGAGGAATGGATGAGTGATTTGTGAGGTCTTAGCTAGATACCCCTTTTTTTCTTCCTTGTCTTGGTTCCTTTTCAGAATGCCAGGAAAATACATGCAGGGATCCCGTCTGATCACCCTCAGTGCTCTTTCTCTGTCCTGCTGGATAGATTTAGGTTTCCTTTTTTTAGGGCCTCAGTCTTCTCTCTCCTTTGGTGGCTACCACCACTCACTCCATTGATATCTTCTACATCCTTGCCTTCACCTTGCTTAGGACTAGGAGGGGAGTTAGATTTTGTCACCAGCTCTTCCTTTTCCTTGCTGTATACCCCACCAAACTAGATTAGTTCAAGTTAAAAAGAATCTATTGGAGGTAAACTGGGAGAAGCAAGTGTTGGATCTGGGCTGGCCCCTTTCCCATATAATTAGGTCCCTGATTGTATGTTCCCATAGCACCCTATACTTCCTCTCTCAGAATAATCATTTTCCTTGTAATGCTCAGCATCTGTATGCTGCTTGACTACAAACTTGCTGAAGGTAGGAATTGTTTGTCTTGGACTTTGCTGCCAGTCCTTAGAACAGTGTCTGGTACACAGTGTGTTCTCAAATATTTGTTGCTGGAATAAATGAATGAATTAAATCAGTCTTTTAGGGATTTATTTTTAATCACCATGGGAAAATTAAATAAATGGGGGAAGGAAAACATTCTACAATTAGAAGACTACTTTCTACTCTCAGCTTCTGACTCCCTCTGAGCTAAGAACCAGACAGAGTTAGGCTGATAACTCCTATAAGCTGGTCCTCCTCCCATGCTGGCCCCATCTTTACCGTACAGTTAACTTTTCACCATCTGAACACACCAGCAAGATAGACCCAGGAGTGACAACTCCATTGTAGGTGTCCATCATTCCCTTAATCTCTATTCTGCTCCAGGTATAAATAAATTGGGGCCATTTCCTTAGACATTGGGGTTTTCTCAAGAAATCCTTTCCCTTTGTGGTGTGGGTCAAATAGCTGGTAGTTAAAAAGATGTTAACTCTTATGGGAAGTAACCCTTTTCCTTTGTAATGACCTGACTGGAAAGCCTGTGTCATCACTTCTCATTTCTTATTTGAAATCAGCAAACTGGATTCAGTAGACCTGAATTCAAGCCTCATGAAAGTGGGGGTTTTGTCTTTTGCACACTGCAATACCTCCAGGACCTGGCAGCATGGCTGGTACATACTTGTTCAAAGTGAATACTCACACCTTCACACCCTCCCTAGAGAGCTGTTCTTGTAAGTCTCTCAAATGTATGATTTAGAGAAGTCAAAGTTAAAAAATAATTAAAACGTTGCAGCACCACGCATAGGTGAGGCTATTCTGCAAAATATGTTAATTGTCTTGAGGTATGTTTCGTCTGGACAAAACGTATTTCCACAGATATAACTCAAAGGTGTTAATTTAAAGTGCTGTGTGCCCTGTTTATGGATTCCCAGACGTCATAACAGAGGAGGACGTTCGGCGAAGCAAGATGAGGGCAGTAGCGAGAAACCAGTTTCACCAGGTTCCGCCTTTTCTCGTTCACTTCCGCCCTTCCCAGTTCCTAAGCAGACAGGTGGGGCCGGGTTTTGTCTTGCCGGAAAGGGCTGGCCTCAGGGGGGCCCAAACTTCCGGCAGCCGCATGGCGGCCTAGCTAGTGGTTCCAACGCGAGGCGGGAGAGTGACTGGATGACGTCAAGGGATGGGGCGAATGAGGGCGGCACCCGAGTGGATGCGCATGCGCAACAAGGTGTCTGCCGGCCTAGAGCGGAGCCGGCTGCGGGGGTCTTTCCAGCGCAGGCGGGATTTCCAGTGTTGCTTGCGGCTGGGCGCGGGGGACTAGCTACCTTCTCGGCAGCAGGCAGGAAGCAGCAAAAAGTATCTGAGCCCGCGAACCTGTAGCGGACGTGGAAAAAGAACGTATGTGAGAGAGACTTCTGCCTCATTTAGCAAATCACTATAATACGCTCTGGTGTGGGGTGTGTGGATCAGAGAAAGCCCATCTTCCGAAGGTTCTTGTTGTCAGACCGCAAGGGAAGGCGGGGCCAGCAGAAATTAAAATACTACCCTTTTGCAGTTCTAGCGGATTTCATTCATTCATTTTTATGTGTCAGGATTAGATGGTTGTTAGTCCACATTCTGGTGCATATTAATCAAATTGCTATTCTTTTTTTTTTTTGAGACGGAGTTTCGCTCTCGTTACCCAGGCTGGAGTGCAATGGCGCGATCTCGGCTCACCGCAACCCCCGCCTCCTGGGTTCAGGCAATTCTCCTGCCTCAGCCTCCTGAGTAGCTGAGATTACAGGCACGCGCCCAGCTAATTTTTTGTATTTTTAGTAGAGACGGGGTTTCACCATGTTGACCAGGATGGTCTCGATCTGTTGACCTCGTGATCCACCCTCCTTGGCCTCCCAAAGTGCTGGGATTACAGGCTTGAGCCACCGCGCCCGGCCAAAACTATTCCCTGGTGGGAAGAGTAGGGGAGTTGTCAGTGGAAAGAATACATTTAGAACTTGGAGCTCTGTCCCAGACGGGCTTTTGGGCGAAATGCTGTGAATTTTGCCAAAGACTGCCCCGCCTCAGCTTCTGCCCCAAACTCCTTAAGGTTTGAACCAGAGAACGTAATTTGCAACATACAAAATTTAGAATAAAAGCCAGAGAGAATATAAATCTAGCTGTAAGGCTAGAAAGACACATGAATTTGAGATTGAGGGAGACCAAGTCAACCAGAAAAATCAGGTAGCGTTGGTGATCCTATCTTGTCTGGGTTGGGTCAGCATTTCAAAGCAGAGAAAGGGACAGAATAACCTTTGAAAGACACAGACTTAACAGGAAGGCTTTTGGCAGGTTTCCTGGTGTGTTACTGCCTGCTAATAATTCCCTGCTCCTGCTTTGTTTCTAGGCTCCTCCTCAAGTGTCTGGCTGAAAGATGCCACCCAGGGAAGGGAATTGTGGCTAACTAAGGAGCCCATTCTTGATGTTGCTTCTAGATGTCATGTCATCACCGAGCCCTCAGCTGCTGGTGGCAGCTGCTCAGCAGACCCTTGGCCTGGGAAAGAGACGGAGTCCACCCCAAGCCATTTGCCTTCACTTAGCTGGAGAGGTGCTGGCTGTGGCCCGGGGACTGAAGCCAGCTGTGCTCTATGATTGCAACTGTGCAGGGGCATCAGAGCTCCAAAGCTATCTGGAGGAGCTGCAGGGGCTTGGTTTCCTGACCTGTGGACTTCACATCCTTGAGATTGGAGAAAACAGCCTGATTGTTAGTCCTGAGCATGTATGCCAGCGCTTGGAGCAGGTGCTGCTTGGTACCATAGCCTTTGTGGACGTTTCCGGCTGCCAGCCTCACCCTTGTGTCTGCTCCCTGGACCAGCTTCAGGACTTGAAGGCCCTCGTGGCTGAGATCATCATACATTTGCAGGGGCTGCAGAGGGACTTATCTCTAGCAGTCTCCCATAGCAGGCTCCATTCCTCAGACTGGAATCTCTGTACTGTATTTGGGATCCTCCTGGGCTATCCTGTCCCCTATACCTTTCACCTGAACCAGGGAGATGACAACTGCTTAGCTCTGACTCCGCTACGAGTATTCACTGCCCGGATCTCATGGTTGCTAGGTCAACCCCCAATCCTGCTCTATTCCTTTAGTATCCCAGAGAGCTTGTTCCCAGGCCTGAGGTACATTCTAAACACCTGGGAGAAGGACCTCAGAACCCGATTTAGGACTCAGAATGACTTTGCTGATCTCAGCATCTCCTCTGAGATAGTCACACTGCCGGCTGTGGCCCTCTGACTTTAACTCTCCTCTCATACAGAAGGTACTCAGTAAAAGATCATCTCTAGGTTGGGGATGGCAAATAATCATCTCAAGTGCCAATTCCAAGTGTCTTGAGTACACTGAGGCACAATGCTGTAATAATTGACTGCAAATGCAAAGGGCATGGAAATAGGTAATGCTGGTGCTGGTAGCAAATTGGTAGGTAGTACATACTTGCCATTTCTATACCAGGAAGTCCTCTTAGCGGAGGTGTTTTCATTTTCACAAGATAAGAGATAGAAGGAAAGAGATGTTAGAGGAAAAGCAGGGTGGTAGAAGACCAGCTAAATACTCATGTGTTGCTCTATGTGGGTGCCATCTGCTAGAAAAGTTGGGCTGGGAGCTTTTCTGCATGGTTTTTATGCCTCCAGCTGAATTTGAGGAGAGTAGACCACCAGTATGCTTAAATATGTGATACTTGTTAATGTAATACACCATTCAGGAATAAACCAAGAGTTCTGAGGAACAGTCTGGTCAGGTGAAGTTTATTTACAGTAGGTTAAGAAAATAACAAAAAGTCAGAAATCCCAAGTCGGTTGGAAAAGGAAAACCCAAGCTGTAATGTACCCAAATCTTCTGAGTTTTTCGTTGAGTTGCTTGCTTCTGATTTTCACCCAAGGCAGCTGTTTTATTCAGATCATCAGGTGGTCTTTACTGGCCAGGAACACTGCCAGTGCTGCAGCAATCAGCACCATCAACATTGGGAGCCATCGCCCACACTGCCTCTGCAGAGGGACGGGGACAGAATAAAGTGCCCATGAGTTGATTCGAAAAGATACAAGCAAAAATCTTTCTTCTTCCTACTCTAGTCCAGTGGAAAACCCTAGGTTGGTGGTGGAGAAAAAGCTTTTTACACTATCGCCCACTTTGTCACCTCTCTTGGGGTGAAACCACTTAACCAGTGGTCCCTGGCCCAGGGAGCCATATCCATCAGGGACCAGATATATAAATACTGATATGAATAATCAAGGGTGGAAAATAATTCAGCAAAATTATGTTCTTTGTTCGTATTCCCCAGTGCTTTTGTTGTCCTACTCTTCCTGGCTCCATGCTTATCATAGGCTAAAAGAACACCCTTTCATACTTCAGCTGAGATTAAGTCTTTCCCTCTGGCATTGAAAGTTCAGTGAAAGTTGGGCTTTGATGCATGAGCCAGGATTTTTTCCAATGGTTGCCATAACGTCAGTATAGTATAAACCAAGCACAATGGGACAGAATGGCTAGATGTTGGTGTGGGCTGATATATTTTATCTGCGAAACTTGGTTAAAGAAGGAATCGTCCCATCATCCAGGGCTTTATGGAAGGATAGACCATCTTACTCTGGGAGGCGGCTGCTGGCTCTGGTTCAGCTCTTCTCGACAGTGCTGCAGCTTACGCAGGCAGGAGAGGTACTCATCACTGAGGTTGTCTAACTCCGCATGCAGTTCTCTGCACTGGGGAGAATATCACCAAAGTCATCACTGTCACTTCTGTCTAGGACAGAGCCCAGGTTGGGGAGACTGCCCTATGTAAGTTTCACTCATTCGGAATTTTTACCACCATCTTCCCTTCCCAGCCATTCTCAGGGATTTGGGTTTGTCTTTTGACTGTCTCACATTGTCTGGAATGTGTTCATTTAAATGATTGATAATGTGCATATTATCGTATTTTATACACTTAAGTTCTTTTATACAAAGACTTTATATGCAAGTGCTTTGCAAATGGGAGACACCAAAATATGAAGTTCTTATGGCACAAAAGACCTAGAAGTGACCTTAGTACAAGTCTCTTTCCCAGGAGTTAGTTGCATATGAACACTTCTGGGGATATGTATCTTTGTGGATAGGCACAAAGGAAGATTGTTAAAAGACATATAAAGATTTAGCAAGTCCAGATACACTTAGTTTAATAAACTAAAAAAACCAAAGATTTAAGATAATGTGGGACAACATATTGAGAAGTTAATATTTTCATTAAATGAGTTTGAGTTTTGGTTGACTTTCTAAAAGGTAACCATTTAATAAAACCTTGAATAGGAGTTGGTATAATTAAGGAAGGGAAAAGATTGACAAGTCAGTCCAAAAGCACAGACACTTTATATAGGCAAATGAATATCTCTGGATATCCAGTCACAACTTAAACTTTGAAATCCCTGCCCTTTGGTTGCCTCCCAGGTCTCTGCCATTCTGCAGATGAGCCCTCACTGTCTCCAGTCACCCTCTCACCTCCTTTTCCTTGGCCTGGAGCTGCAAAGTCTTCTTTTGCAGCTGGTCTCTTAGATCCCAGTCTTTCTCCTTTCCTTTACCCTCAGGCTCCACTTCTTTAGGGAAGGACTTTGGACTCCACTCGGGCAGAGCCTGATCTATAAAAGCAGCCAGATTCTTGGTGATAGTGAGGCCCACACCTCTGAGAAAGAGCTCTGAGGGTAGACCACTAGGAGTGGGGAGAGGGGAGGGAACTTGGGAGGGTGTGCTCTTGGCTAGACTGATGGCATTCTCTGACATAAAGTTTAATTCCTATTGGGCCCCTGCTAAGCTTGGCCAGACAGTTGGAATCTGAGCTCCTTGAGGGCAAGACTGGCACCTTTTCTTTGTATCCTCAGTCTTGTCTAATGCTGGATAATTTTAGTGAATACTTACTAATTGAATTTCATTGGTTGTCACATTCTTCCTAGTTTGTCAAATAAGTTTGGCGGCTGCTTTAATGTAATCGCTTTTCCCTGATGTCCTCATTTCAAAGTTGTGAAGACGGCAGTCATATTCTAAAATTTGTCTTCATATGGTTAAAGATGGGCTTTCAGCCACCCTGCAGTCTTTGTCTTGGTGAAAAGAGCATGGACTAGAAGTCAGAAGTTCTGGATTGTTGTTGTAGCTGTGTTGTTAGTCTGTGGTGACACAGACCTTCATGTTCTTATCCATACTATGTGGGCATAAAAATTTCTGCCTTATCTCTTACATTATGCTCAGTGATCGTGAGGAGAAAACAAAAGGTCATGTGTAGTGGATAGGTGAGGAGCTGTTGGACCTTTGTATAGATGGTGAATTCTCAGGGAACATGGACAGTAGACTCTTTAGGGCTAAGAGTTACTTGACTCTGACATGCTATGTGGTTTGGAGCTGGGGAGTTGGATATGATTTGGAAAATTAAGTGTGTAAAAATTGACATGAAATCCTGAGTTCAAAATAAGTTTATTGAAATGTTCAACATAGACATGTGCTTTCAGACAGAATAGAAACCGTTTTCCACAGTTTGTATACCTCAGGATAGAAGGCTAACTAGTTGAAGTTTCCTCAGAGCCAATGATCAGTCCTTAAAAAGCTCCCATACATCCCGGACTTAACAGACTCCCAGAGCTGGACGGGACTCCAGGAGGTCATGTAGTCCATCCCCCTGCCTCTAGGCAGGTAAGGGAAGAGCAGTATTTTAGAATTTGTGGTAATAAATGTGCTGACCTTTCTTTGTTAAGAGTTTCTCCTGTTCTTGAAGCTGTAAGGATTGATTCTGAAGTAGACCTGTTGGAAAACACAAGGAACTTGTCTATGCTAGCATGTTTACTACAAAGAGTTTCTTTTCAGAACTTGGCTTAGAACCTTGTGTTTCCATCTGCTATGTGTTGAATTTTCTTCCCCAGAATCTGTATGTTGAAGATTCAGTCCCTTAAATTATGACCTTATTTGGAGATAAGTTCTTTAAAAGATACTCAAGTTATGATGGGGTCATTCAGGTGGGCCCTAATCTAATATCACTTGTGTCCTTATAAGAAGGGGAAATTTGGACACATACGTTCATGGGAAAGATGATGTGAAGAGACATAGGGAGAAGATGGTCATCTACAAAGTCAAGGAAAGAGCCCTGACATAGATCTTTCCCTAAATGCCCTCAGAAGAAACAACCCTGCTGACATCTTGGACTTCTAATCTCCAGAACTGTGAGACAATACATTTCTGTTCTTCAAGACACACTGTCTGTGGTACTTTGCTATGAATATATCATCCTTATAACTCTGCCTACCATGTCTCTACCTTCAAGTTTTTGCTTGAAGACTCCCTTTCCCCTGTGATTGCTTTGCTCTGCTAATATTCATTGCTGTTTGCATGAAGCTTCTCTATCAGGTATCAGAGGTTAAAGTGGTAGGCAACCAGCAGCGGTATTGAGACAGGTTCCCCAACTTTTCAGAAACTGCTTTTCTTCTGAGAAGTCCCCTTTCCTCTCTGGGACCAATATGAAGTGTTGAAGTGGATTGAGGCTTAGGTAGTGTAAGCTTATTTTGTAAATCATCTCTAGCAACAAGTCTATATGACATATTCATGCACATAAATTAGGATATATAAAATAAGAACTGCTTTAGGAAACCTAGTACTTTAAAAAATCTGCAATTCTAGGGGAAATTGTAAATGGTATCATTGGCCTGGAAGGAGAGAAGTAGAAAAAAAAGAACAGAAGCCAATACATAATTTCTGGAGAGCTTTGTAAATGACCTACCTTCACAAGAAGAGGGTCTGAAAATGCACAGAGTTAAAGCATACGCCACAGACTGGGCCCTTAATCCCTACTCTGGGTGCCTTTGGTGGGCCAGGAGCCCCAGGAAAACCCTGTGAACTTTTAGAATCTGGAAAGCGAACTTACTCTGCAACTGCTGTACTCTGGTCACCAGGGTGAGTTTCTCCGCCTCTGACCTTTTTAGTTGATCTGAAAATGCAATAATGCAAGCCAAAATAAAGGAACCCAAGCCTTAATGAACCCAGTACTTAAGGATGGAAATTAGTAATAGATGCTGTCTTGTCATGGCCTCCAACGTGTGTCTATTGGAAGTTGCTCTGTCTTTGTGTCCTAGTTCAAAAGATGTAAACCAGAAGTACCTCAGGTTCTGTGCATCAACAGTGTTGGGTTGATTGAGGATTATATTTACACACGATCTAGTCCTCTCTATCAGCTGACACAGGCTGTGACTGAGAGACTTTATGCCTTGTGTGTCAACTGACCTTTCCCTTTCAAATGCGGAATGTGGCCTTGATATATATGACTGAGATGGGAGCAGCTATGATCTGGCCCAGAGGGATGGGCTAAAAAAGAGAGCTCAGACAACAAGATGCTCTAGTATAGTGAAATTAATTTTCAATTTTGGATGATTAAAATAGCCCCACCTCTCTCTTAAGGTAAAATGATATCATAAAGCCAATCAGCCAGTCAAGTAAACAAATAAAAACCTGAAGCCTTTCTCTTAACAAGGTTTTTTTTTTTCCCTTAGCTCACTCGGCCATGGCTCCTGTGTGCCCAAGGCCTCCAAGGAGAATACCTTGTAGGTCCTGGGTATCCAAGCTGCACAGGTCTCTGTCCCCTTGCAGGAATTCAATCTTGGCCTGCAGTTCCTGGTGTTCATTCTCCAAAAATCGCAGGGCCTGGTTCATCTGTAAGTCCCTGCTATCAGCTCCCTGTAAGGAGGAGGAGGGGTCAATACAGAAGAAGGTCAGTGCTTGGATGGAGGTTGGGGGCAGGTACCATGGAAGAGGAAAATAAGAAAATTCTGGAATTGTAGAGATAGAAGGAATGTTAGGGAAATGAGAAAATAGGGAGGTGTTTCTTTTTTTCTATTCTTCTCTTTCCTTTGTTCCTCACATTTATAACAGCAAATTAGAATTTTGATATTCACAAGGAACTTATGTTTTATTTATTTTTATTTTTAGAGATGGGGGTCTCACTTTGTCACCCAGACTGGAGTGCAGTGGTGCCATGACAGCTCATTGCAGCCTCAATCTCTTGGGCTCAAGCAATCCTCCCACCTTAGCCTTCCGAGTAGCTGGGACTACAGACACGTGCCAGTACTGAGGCATGTGTAGTATAAGTTTATTTTTTAAACCATCTCTGTCACTAGAGGTCTATGCGACATATTCATGTACATAAATTAGAATATATAAAATAAGAATTGCTTTAGGAAACCCAGTACTTTTAAAAAATCTGCCATTCTAGGAGAAATATAAGTGGTTGTCATTGGCGTGGGACTCATGTCTTGACACTTTGGTAAATCACCAAATTAAGAAATATGAAGTCATCACTTTTCTAGATGTTTTTACTTTCTCTTTTCTTCTGGCAATATGAATTGTTTTTTTGTTAGGATCTTCTCTTTTCCCCCACAAAGATTTGAAGTTAAAAAAAAAAAACCCACAAAAATCTTCATATAGGTGGTGGGAAGAAGAGAACAACAAAGGTTGAGATGTGGATACCATGTAGAATGACCAGCTAGGTTCATGCCTTTGATAAGACTCACATACTCTGTCTCTTATCAGGTGGGCTGTTCTGAGCCCTGCTTCAGGAAAATTACAAAGATCAGCTTTTGAGGTGGAACCTCAAAATTCCAAATCAAGTAAATACATCTATGCAAATAATAGCTAATATTTACTGAGTGCTTTAATGTGCCAGGCATTGTGCTAAGGGCTTTACATGGATCACCTTACTTAATCCTCAGAACAACCTTATGACAGGTACTGTTGTCCTCATTTCACAGATAGGGAAACTGAGGCTTAGGACAGACTGAAAATGATTGAACCCAGGCCGGGCGTGGTGGCTCACACTTGTAGTGCTTGGATTACAAGTGTAATCCAAGCACTTTGGAGGCCAAGGCAGGCGGATCACCCGAGGTCGGGAGTTCAAGACCAGCCTGACCAACATGGTGAAACCCCATCTTTAAAAAAAAGAAAATGATGGAACCCTTGAGAATGCCAAGAGTCTAACTGTAATTGCTAAATGTAATTGCTTAAAAAATACATTGGAGACCAGGCTCAGTGGCTCACTCCTGTAATCCCAGCACTTTGGGAGGCCGAGGTGGGTGGATCATGAGGTCAGGAGTTCAAGACTAGCCTGGCCAACATAGTGAAACCCCGTCTTTACTAAAAATACAAAAAAGTTAGCTGGGTGTGATGGCGGGCACCTGTAATCCCAGCTACTTGGGAGGCTGAGGCAGGAGAATTACTAGAACCCAGGAGGCGGAGGTTGCGGTGAGCCAAGACTGCACCATTGTGCTCCAGCCTGGGTGACAGTGTGAGACTCCGTCTCAAAAAAAACCAACAAAACAAAAAACAAAAAGCCACACACACACATTGGCAGAAAGTGTTAGTACTCACCTGTAAATAAATGAATGACATTTGTTCTATGCCAATAATGGACAATTCTGAACTGGATGCTTTTTTGGGATGGAGTTTGGAGGGTGGGTTGGGGTATGATATTAGTAGGCTGATAAATATTCCGGGCAGCCCTTTTCATTTGCATGGTGTCTTTCCAGTGAATGCTTAGTTCACTTGCATGAGCAGTGCAGACATGCTTGCTAAACTCAAAATTCGATTTCAGAGCCGAAACAGTGAATTTGGTACAATGTAGGCGGTGACTGAGGAACTGAAAGCCAGATGCTGTCAGCTGCCTTTGGAGTCCCTAAGCCAGAACAGCTTCTTTCATCACCACCGCTCCGCCCCATAGTCTGCCTTCCTGCCCCAGCCCCAGTGCCTGGTACCTGCAGTTTGGACTGAAGCACGTGGAGTTGGCTCTCCAGCTCTCTGTGCTGGGTCCCTAGGGTCCTCCAGTCCTCCTTCAGAGCCTCATACTGGCTCCTCCACTCTTCACACTTCTGCTCTGCCAGAGCCAGGGATCGCTGAGGGAGATCAGAGAGGAGAGGGTTCCAGGGAGTTGTGCAGCTTTCTCTTTGTTCTCTAAGCTGCCTGGAGTTCCCACCCCAAGGTCTATGTGGCATCCTTATACCTGTGTGCTCTGTAGTTGCTGCTCTGCATTCATTTTCTCCTCCAGCACTTTCTGCAGTGATTCCTTGGCCTTCTGCTCATAGCTGTTTTTCTGGTCTTCCATCTCCAGTAGTACTTTTTTCATTCCCCAAGGGGTGTATTTCTGTAAATTTGATGCAATTCAACAAATACACATTGAGCTTCTGTGTGCCAAATCCTGAGCTGGGATACAGAAATGAAAAGAAGTTGATTCTTCCCCCAGGGAAGAGATACCCGTAATCTTGTGAGCCTTTTCTTTTAGAGTAAAGCTAGCAGGGAGAGTCCCTCAGGCAATGAGAGATGAGTGGGGGGCATAATAAACAGTGCCCTAGGCCTGGTAGGCATTGTATCCATGGCCTTGTACAAGTTCTTGAAATTCAACATGTCTAAAAGGACTCACCTTTCTAAGCATGTGTTTTCTTTCCTGGACTTCCTATTTCAATGGCCAGAATCATCATCCATCCAGGCATTTCCAAACCCTAAACCAAGGAGTCAATCTTCTCTCTCACTTCCTCCCAGTAATCAGTTAGTTACTGAGCCTTGACAATTTCCTTAACAGCTCATATCTGTCTCCTCTCTATCCCTACTTCTGCTTCCTTAGTTCAGGCTCTAGTAGTAGAATTATATGGATTAATGCAACAGCCTCCCTTTCTTCAAAGCTTGCCTCCTCCCTTCAATCCCTTTTCAGTCCTGCATTTACACAGTTTTCTAAAATGCAAATCCGATCTTGCCACTTCCTGCATAAGTCTCTCCATGGATTCCCAGCATCCTAAGAATGACATTTAAACTCCTTGTCATCGCTCCTCTGACATGCCTAGATTTTCATCCCATGCTACTTCTACCTAAGCCGAGATGTTTGCAGATTCCCCAGCACTCTGTTTTTTGGCTTCTGCCTTTACCCATATAGCTGCTGCCTAGAGCTGGTTAACTTCTTCTCATATTCAAGATTCAGTTCAGTATCATCAGTTCTGATAAATTGACTAACTACCCCCATTCTCCAATGTCTTATGGATCAGGTAGCTTTTCTTAGTGTTCATAGTGTTCACATAATATCCCCTGCATGCTTGTATTGTTCTACTCTAGTGACTCATTGGTCTTTCATACTGGATCGTAAACTCCTTCAGGAGTTAGCATACTGCTCCTGCTTTTAAATGAAATCATTGTAGGCTCTCTACCATCCCAAATGAACTTAATGTTTTAAAATTAATGCCTTTGCATTATAAAATTCCTCCTGGCTGCAGAATTAAGAAAGAGACACAAGCGTAGCTTTGCAGATTCACTGAGTTGGGGGGTGGGGGGGTCTTGCCTTATCCCTTTCATCTTTATGCCCTGTGATTTTGGAGAAGGCAGGCAGCTTTTAGTGTCAATTCTGGATTATGCACTATGTAAGCAGTAGACCAGATGACAAAAATTTAGGGATCTGTATGAAATCATTTCCATTTATCTTTGGAATTATCTGAAATTTTTGATTTAAATGTGAATGGGTTTTATGGTTTGGGAACTTTCATTAAAAACTAGATCTAGGAGTTAACCTGGTTGAGGTCATATGTAGGGGATGTCCCAGATACTGGACATCCAATGACCATTCATGCTGGTCACTGGTTATTTGTTATTCCCCACTGAAAATGAAGAGACTAGCATTCTGAATTATATATTAGTCTCATATGAGCTTGTTTGGCATTATTTAGTCCTGACAAAGCAAATCATACTGAAAAAATAAAAGTTGTGGACCACGAAAGTTATAGACTCCATAAACTCTGATCCCATGTAAGATGCCATCTTTGTAGCCAGGGCTGTCTTCTCTCTCTAACTCCAGATGGAGAAGTCTGCCTGTTTCACCCTATTCTCTTATTTGACATCTTCCCACCTGTCAGGGATCCATCACTTCTCAAGTGTGAAAGCTGATTTCTTTGTATCTCTTGTAAACCAAGATTATGCCAATCAAGAGATTACTAATGCTGGAAAACAATGTTACAGAAGAGCCAAGTAAAAGAGCTTTTACATTCTTCTAAGCGTTGTTAGAAAAACAGAAAAAAGTTGCCCATAGAATGAAAATCCTTTTCTAAGACTTCCTTATAACATCCAATTCATCTGTTCAAAGATTAGGATGTGTTAAGGTCTGCCTGGGTGGTATGAATCTTTACCAAGGGTTTTTCCCTACAGTTTCAGGTATTCTCAAGGTTTCATTGGGAGCTGACAAAGTGGTTAGTGCTGGGATTCCTTCCCAGGGTGCAAAGAGAAGGATACTGGAAGAAAGAGAGAGAAAGAAGATGGAGACAGTAATCTAGTGAATTAGAGACTAAAGTGAAAATGGCCAAGCCAGAACTGGGTAAGTAGGAATGGGTGTGTTATTCTCTATCTGATGGCATTTCTAGAAAGTAAGATCTCATTTACTTCTAGATTCCCGAGATGGAAGTATCCTTCAGAATGCTTACCTGGGTACACGTGTACAGCTGGTTTTCTAAGGATCTCAGTTTCCCCTTTAGTTTATCTTCATTAAGCTGTCCCTAGAGCAAATGGGATGAGTTAATGAACTTGGGCCAAAATCTAGCCTGCAAAGTGTTTGACTCTATATTCCTATCCTACTGCCCAACGCATAGTTGGTGCTCAAACAGTGAACTCTCTCAGGAGGTAGGCAGGAGCACAGATGACAAAGGATGTTGGATAGAAGAGGATCTTCTCTTTCCCTGGACTAGGTCAAGATAGAATCAGACTGGCCTCAAGTCCTCTTTCTACCTTGATTTTTATCAAATGGCTCCGGGTCGCATAGCAGGGGGTTGGGAGGCCCTGGAAGGAAAGCTTCTAAGCTACCCTTTCACTCACTACCTTCCCTCCCCGGTCTAGGCACTTCTGCACTCCTCACCTCTTCTCAGTCTTGTACGTGGACTTTTACCTGTAAAATATAGGCCAGTAAGGCTAACACAGTCTCCCCTCCCAGGAGAATATTTATTCCCTCCCTTATCCATTGTTATGGGCTCATTTGTATCTCCTCAACATTCCTATGCTGAAGTCCTAAGCCCCGAGTGCCCCAGAATGTGACCATATTTGGAGATAGCGTCTTTAAAGATGTAGTTACGTTAAAATGAGGCCATTAGACTGGGCCCTAATCCAATATGATGAATGTCCTTACTAAAAGAGGAGATCAGGACACTGCGGGAAAGCACATGGAGACACAGAGAGAGATGACAGGGGAGAGACCACAGGAGAAACGAACTCTGCCCACACCTCCATCTCAGACTTTTGGTCTCCAGAACTGTGAGAAAAAAAGCTTCTGTTGTTGAAGCTCCACTGACTGTGGTACTTTGTCATAGCAGCTCTAGGAAATTAATATACTCTCCTCCCTGCCACACACACCTGCACATATACACACACCTCCACGTGCACATGCACACTTCCACATGCACACACACACCTCCACCTGCACATGCATACCTCCACCTGCACACACACACACACCTCCACCTGCACACACACACCTCCGCATGCACACGCATACCTCCACCTGCACACACACACTTCCACATGCACACACACACCTCCACCTGCACACACACACCTCCTCATGCTACCTCCACCTGCATACGCACACCTTCACCTGCACATCCATACTTCCACTTGAACATGCACAGGCACACTTCCACCTGCACATACACACACACGCTTCCACCTGTACATGCACACTTCCACCTGCACATACACACCTCCACATGCACACGCACACCTCCACCTGCACACCTCTACCTGCACAGTACACCTGCACATGCACACCTCCACCTACACAGTACACCTCCACCTGTGCATGCACACCTCCACCTGTGCATGCACACCTCCACACACGCACGCACACCACACACGCACACCTCCACATGCACACACACCACCTGCACAGTACACCTCCACCTGCACACTCACATTTCCACCTGCATACGTACATTTCCACCTGCAGACACCTCCACATGCACACACACACTTCCACATGCACGTGGACAACTCTACCTGCACACAGACACCTCCACCTGCACACACTTCCACCTGCACACGAACACCTCCTCCTGCACACACACCCCTCCACCTGCACGTGGACACCTCCACCTGCACACACACCCCTCCACCTGCACACGGACACCTCCGCCTGCACACACTTCCACCTGAACACAGACACCTCCTCCTGCACACACGCCCCTCCACCTGCACATGGACACCTCCACCTGCACATGGACACCTCCATGTGCACACACACCCCTCCACCTGCACATGGACACCTCCACCTGCACACACTTCCACCTAAACACAGACACCTCCACCTGCACACGGACACCTCCACTTGCACACACTCACACCTCCACCTGCACACACATACTTCCACATGCACATGTACATACTAGACTCAAGATGAGAACTTCTTTAAGAAAGGAAGAAACAGAGATATTAAAGCAGAGTGAGAGTGGCAGTGGGTGTGAGCAAGCTTCCCGGAAAGTCACATTCTATTTATTCATAAGCTGGGTCTGTCTAATGGCATTTTGGACATTCCAAGACAGATGCTAATCTCAAGGGCGAGAGGGGAGCAAGGCTGGCTTGAAGAGCCAGTCTCTGTTTCTCAGTTAGTCAGTATTTCAGCTGAGCAGCTAACAGCTTCCTTGCTGCTTTGTTGTCCCTGCATTTGTAGACTTGCCCCTTTTTCCCAGGTAGGGGTTTCGTTCTTCCAGCCTGGAGTTTTGCGTAGGGTATATGTGTGTAGGGGATGGGGCGGGGGTTCCATCAATGAGAGCAGGTTTTCCAGAGAAAGGGCAGTAGCCACTTTTCCTATCCTTTCTCTGGCTTTTTCCAACTAGGCCAAGTGGGACAATTGTGAAGTTTGAAATTCCACCTCTCTTCAGGCCTGAGGCACCGTGGGCCCTCTCAGTCATACAGCCTGGACGTTCCTATCTCTTATAACATTTCCGGTCTGTAACGGTCTGGGGGCAAAGGAGGGAGCTGGGTGTTCAGGTCTGCTTCCCTCAGTGAGTTTCAGGGTGCCTGGGGGAGGCAGGAAGTGGTATCTTGCAGCTCCTGTTTTGATCTTGTTTGGCTGATTCTTCTAACCATGGGAGCCGGGGGTGCCCCCACCCTTTCTGCTTCCTGTGTTTCTCAGCTGGGGCTTGAAAAAGCAAAAAGCATTGCCAAAAATAATTTTTTTAAATGGCTCCTGTTATTAATGTTTTCCCTAACGTCTCATGTGAGGGAGAGCGTCTCAGGTGAGGGGGAGCGGAGAGTCTGGGATTTGGCATCTACAGTAAGCACAGGGCTTTGGGAGCAATGGAAGACGTGGACAAAGACTTCCACTGTTTGAGCTTTGAAGTAACTGTTGAAACGGCTGCATTCCACAGTGGCCTGCTCATTGTCAATCCACAGGTTCTGAAATCAACTGGCTCTACCCCTACCTCCTCTAGTTCACATCTTCCAATTCCACGCATTTGCTTTTGCCCAAACTCTTTCTACACAGAATACCATCAAACCTACCAAGTTTAAGGTTTATCTTGCTCTATTTTGGGAAGAAAACAGGCCAAGGCAATATTCTTAAAATGTCCCCAGTCTCCTGCCCTTTCGGGGTATCTCCTCTCTCCCTATTCCATAGTATGGCTTTAATCCAATATTTTGCCTCTTCCAGCTGTTTTTGTATTTTAGCCCAACCGAGATAAATTTTCCATTTGTGTTGCAATGGAAGACAATTCATAACAGCCCCTTCAGTGGGGATGAAGGGCCATCCAAGTCTGGAGCTTGAACAAAAACCTCTTTCCACAGCTCTGCTTTTCTGGACTCCCCAAGACGTCACAAAAGTCACAGCCAAGTTGTTGCATGTGGGGCATGTAGTTTCCTGGTCTGAGCCCCAGGGCTCCCGACACTGAAGCCCAGTCTTACAATATGTGGGAAGAAGCACTTCTTACAGGCCTACTGCTGACCTTCTAGGCAGCTAGACCCCGGGATCCCAGGGCTCAGAGGGCACATAACCCCCAGTGGAGAGAGGAGCAAGGTGGAGGCCATACACACCTGGTGCCGGTCTGAGGTCTTCAGCTCCTGCTTCTGCGTGGTTTTCCCCCGCCTCTGATCTACTCTCCAGAAACAGCACCACCTCACCACAGAAGCAGCAGCCCACAGCTCATCTCTCTGCTCTAGTAGAGGATGCTTAGGGCTTGCAGCCAATCCCCCGCTGCGCTGTCATCTCAAGATCTTAATTCCATGTTGCAGATCTTCAAACCCAAGGCTGCCCTGCTCTCGTTTTTGTATTGCACAATATTGAGGGCTTGCTTTCTTTGCTGGCAGAGCTGTTTCTGCCCTGAAGGTTGGACCCTGCTCAGGAGTCTCAATAGTGCCCTAGGACCTATGGTATCCAAAAGGCCCAGAGACATTTGGAGGTGGAGCCCCTGGAGGGAGCTGATCCTTGGGGTTCTAACAGGGAGTTTGTGGTGAGTTCTCAGCATGCGAAGTTGGAAATTCAAATTTATGAAGGTCAAATGGAAAAAATAAAGGTCTGAACCAGTTCTGGCTACATTCTTCCAGTGATTTTTCCCAAATAGCACAGTCTAGGGCTATCCTTTTATTGAAGTTGAAGCTTTCATGGAAGGGATAAAGAGTTGAATTGCCTTGTTTTAGAGGAAGCAATAGCTGTCAACTGAAAAAGCCTGAGACTGTTTTTCTTTAAAGCTGAAAGCTAGGGGGTTGGTGGAGAGGAGGGAGGAAGAAGAGAAGGGTGAGGATTGGGAGGGGTGAGAAGAAGGGAGGGAGAAAACTGCAACCAAGGGAACTTCCTCTGTTGGGATGGAGCATGGGGTGAAACTCCTCCTCAGAGACAAACCCAGAAATGTCTCTTCATATATCACCCCTCATTCCCACAGAGCTTGCTTTGATTCAAGTTCTGGTTGTGTCTTACCTGGGATATTACAAGAGTCTCAACTCTCCCAACCCCCGCTTGGAGCCAGGGTCCTTATTGCTACAAGTTAGAGAATCCTTGAACTCTCCTCCCTCTTGTTGTTTTTTTTTTCAAGACAGGGTCTCGCTCTGTCACCCAGGCTTGGACCTCCTGGGCTCAAGCGATCCTCCTGCCTTAGCCTCCCAAGTAACTGGGACTATAGGTGTATAACACCATGCCCGGCTAATTTTTTAATTTTTAGTAGAGATGAGGTCTCACTATGTTGCCCAGGCTGGTCTTGATCACTCAAGTGATCCTTCTGCCTTGGCCTCCCAAAGTGTTGGGATTACAAGAGTGAGCCACTGTGTCCAGCTGGAAGTTAGAGAACCCTTTAAGACACAGATCTGATCATTCACAAGTCATTTCTACAGATAGTAATTGCATACCTTCTAAGGATGAGCCAGACATTGCTAAGTGTAGGATGTTAAGCCTCAATAAAGCCTAGTTCCATCCCTCCTCAGCTTATTACCTATAGCAGTGTTTCTCAAGCTGGGTAGCATGCATTCTAATGGATCTCTGATTGTATATATATATATACATATATGGGTTTCCTTTACAAATGGGTCCATGCATTATTCAAATTTGAGATAACCTTGTTCAACAGAAAAAATTTAAGACCCATAATTCTAGAGACCTGTCTGAGATCCACTGGTCTGACATACCCTCATTTCAGCCATACTCTGCTATCCCCAGTTCTTTGTCATTCACAGGCCTGTAATCATTCCAGTTTCTTTGCCTTAAACATCCTTCTGCTTTCTGCTTTTTTTCTTCATCATCACTCCTGTTTTTGTACTGGTGAGCTCCTACTGATTCTTCAAGATTCAGCTAAAATGGTTTCTTTTCTTTATTATTACTATTTGAGACAGAGTCTTGCTCTGTCACCCAGGCTGGAGTGCAGTGGTGTGATCTTACTGCAACTTACACCTCCTGGGTTCAAGTGATTCTTGTGCCTCAGCCTCCCAAGCAGCTGGGACATTAGGTGTGTACCATTACACTCACCTAATTTTTGTATTTTTGGTAGAGATGGCATTTCACCATGTTGGCTGGGCTGGTCTTGAACTCCTGACCTCAAGTGGTCCGCCCTCCTTGGCCTCCCAAAGTGCTTGGATTACAGTCATGAGCAGCCATGCCTGGCCAGGTTTCTTTCCTTTAAAGCCTTCCCTGTTCCACCTCAGGCAGAATAATTGCTGCCTTCTTTCTGTTTTCCCTGCATCACTCTGTATATACTGCTGCTACAGCTGTATTGTACTGTTTTGGTGTTATTTATTATGTGTCTCTGTGTTCATGGCTGGAGTGTGAGCTCCTCAAGAGTTAGGACTGTAATGCTTTTTGTCCTTGTAGCAAAGGGCTCAGCACAGAGTTGGAACTTATCAAATGACTGTCAAACAAATGAGATGATCTCAATTTAGTTCGGGACTGGAAACCACCTCACATGCACAGCTGTCAGCCTCTGTCAATGAAAATGACCTAACAATTAGAAGCCCTGACCATGCATTCAAAATTCCAGGTACATCGGACATTTCCGATGTGAGGAGCAGGGCTGAGCTTAAGAAGTCTTTTTTACGTCACTGCAACTTCTCAGTTTTGTTCTATACCCTCCTGTCATCTTTCTGTCTATCCTTGAGGTAGGGTGTGATGTCACACAGGCCAGTGAGGTTGTGTGTTCTGTCTCTTTCCACCTGGTGCTTTATGCTTTGGTGGTGTCAAAATGCTTATAACTCATGCTTCAGCATGGGGATTCTGAGGAACCTTGGGAATCCCTAAGACCCTTTCAAGGGATCAGCGAAGTCTTAGCTTTTCTAATGACATATTTGTGTGAGACTGAATTTTTCTTCATGTTTAAACCAACAGATTGAATGCAGAAGCAAATATGAGAATCTAGCTCTCTTTTTCTTGCCAGACATTAAACATTAAAAATATTTGCAAAAGTGTAAAGCAATGACACTCTTGCCACTAATTTTATTTTGTTTTTGAAAATGTGGTTCTTTTTCTTTTTCTATTTTGAGACAGAGTTTCACTCCCATCACCCAGGCTGGAATGCAGTGGTGCAGTCATGGCTCCCTGCAGCCTCCGCCCCTGAGGCTCAAGAGATTCTCCTGCCTCAGCCTCCCAAGTTGCTGAGACTACAGGTGCATGCCAACACACCTGGCTAATTTTTTATATTTTTAGTAGAGACAAGCTTTCACCATGTTGCCCAGGCTGGTCTTGAACTCTGGAGCTCAAGTGATCTTCCTTTCTCAGCCTCCCAAAGTGCTGGGTTACAGGTGTGAACTGCTGCACCCAGACTGTTTTTCTTTTCTTTCTTTTTTATTTTTTGAGACGGAGTCTCGCTCTGTCACCCAGGCTGGAATGCAGTGATAAGATCTTGGCTTATTGCAACCTCTGCCTCCTAGGCTCAAGTGATTCTCATGGCTCAGCCTCTGGAGTAGCTGAGATTACAGGTGTACACCACCATATGCAGCTAATTTTTGTATTTTTAGTAGAGAGAGGGTTTTGCCATGTTGACTGGGCTGGTCTCCAACTCCTGACCTCAGTTGATCTGCCTGCCTCATCCTCCCAAAGTGGTGGGATTTACAGGTGTGGGGCACCGCGCCTAGCCAACTGTCTTAATTTCTAATATGGTAAATATAAAAATCTCTTATAGATTTTCAGCAATTTAAAAAGTATAAAGAAATCCTGAAATTAAAAGGTTGGAGAACCATTGTATTAGACTGTATCATGTCTTTAGATCTTTTTTTGTTTGTTTGAGATGGAGTCTTGCTCTGCCACCAGGCTGAAGTTCAATCTTGGCTGACTGCAACCTTCACCTCCTGGGTTCAAGCAATTCCCCTGCCTCATTCTCTTGAGTAGCCAGGACTGTAGGCGCATGCCACCATGCCTGGCTTGTTTTTTGTATTTCTATTTAGATGGGGTTTCACCGTGTTGGCCAGAATGGTCTCCATCTCCTGACCTTGTGATCCAGCTACCTCAGCCTCCAAAAGTGCTGGGATGGTTCAGCCACCGTGCCTGGCCTTTTTTTTTTTTTTTGAGGCAGAGTCTCACTCTGTTGCCCAGACTGGAGTGCAATGGTGTAATCTTGGCTCATTGCAACCTCTACCTTCTTGGTTCAAGTGATTCTTGTGCTTCAGCTTCCTGAGTAGCTGGGATTACAGGCATGTGCCACCGTGCCTGGCTAATTTTTTTTTCTTTTTTTTGTATTTTTAGTAGAGACAGGGTTTTGCCATGTTGGCCAGGCTGGTCTCGAACTCCTGACCTCAGGTGATCCACCCGTCTTAGCCTCCCAAAGTGCTGGGATTACAGGTGTGAGCCACTGCGCCTGACCTTGCCTTTAGATATTTGCCTGTGCCCCAACTAGAATACTACTCCTGTTTCCATATTTTTCTGGCAAATACTTATATAAGTATTCCCTTGGCTATTTTCTTCTCTGGAGTCAATCATTCCTTCTTGTATTTTCCTATATCCTCAAAACATTTATTTTTCATGTTTTTGTATTGTTTAGTAATGTGTCTTTCTTATAAAACCATTAGCCTTCTCAAAAGAAGAACGCTATCTAAATAATCTAATTATTTCTAGTGCTAGTCCGGTGTTCCATATAGAGGACATAACCTATGAATATTGTACACTGAATGGACTAAAATCAAAGGCCTGAATCTGCCACTAACAGCTGTGTGACTTTAGACAAGTTACTTGACCCCTGTGAAACTCAGTTTCCTCATGGGCAAAAAGAGTATTAGACCAGATTGTCTCTAAGGCCCCTTCCCACTCTGATATTCATATTCAGACTGAGTGGGTACATGGCATGCTGGTTGGGATAAATATCAGTGTGAATCCTATACAAAAATGTTTGACATTTACCATATTCAGAAATGTAAACTATATTGGGATCTTCCTTCATTCCCTCCAACAAATTAAAAAATAGGAATTCTTGCCACTTTTGGTTCTGGGTCTTCCTTGGATGTGTAGCAGTGTGACCCTCAGGTGATGACCCATATATTTATTGTGACCTGTTTGACTTCTAAGTCTGAGTGCCAACCCCCTCATCTTCTGCCCCCTCCCAGCCCACTTTTCAGTGTGAGAAAACCCAGTCTCTTACTGTGATGATGTGGAAAGAAAAATGAGATGGGAACACATACAAGCCCATGAGCTCTGTTCAAAAGAAATTTCATTCCCTTACCTTCCAAGAGCTGTCAGAGGCCTGAATCAGAGTGGACAGTAGGTCTTGGAGAATCACCATTTTCTGTTTTAGGACCAGCTCCCTTTGTAGGGCCTCCTGGGGGTGCAGGCACAAAATGCAAGAGGGTCAGTTTAACCTAGAGGCGCAGGGGGTAGGTAGATGGAGGAACTGAGGGGAGAGGTCACATGCCACTTACTTTGAGGTAATCAGAAAGCTGGATGATTTCCTGGAGAGGAAGAACAAGGGTATTCGAAATGTCTCTAGGTCCCCTGAACTGCTGGGGCATAGAACCAGAGCCTGGGTTGGCTTGTGTAAAGCAAACCTCTTCTGCTTTGGCTCTGATAGGGTCCCGTTAGGCCCCATGTCTATGCTTAGTACCCCCTTGCCATCCAGGAAGAAGATGCTCCTTCATCCCAGCCAAGTTTATCATGAAATTCCAGAATGTCAGAGCTTAATACTTTCTGATTCGACCCCTTCAGTTAATATGTGCTTACCTTATCCAGAACTGCGACTCCAAAACTAGGAAGAGAAGAAATTAAAAATAATGATAATGGACCAAAGAATCAAATCAGGAGGCAGTGGGTTGATTCCTTCTGAAATCCCTTCTGAAGAGCCAGAAGGGTGGGGAAGAACTTTCTCTTTCTTAATTAAGGTGGACATAGAAATTCAGTGTGTTCTCTCTAGAGAGGAGTGGATGGGATACGAGAGAGTTAGGGTCAGGAACTCACTTGGTTTGCTGACTGGCATCGTTCTTAATTGTTGGTCCTTCTGCCTTTGTCTGAGTACCTGAGAGATGGAGGATAAGGTGATTTAGAACCTATGGGGAAGAAGTAGGGCGGGACAGGGACTCTCCATTGCCAGTGAGCTGGGACAGCTGTCACAGGATTCTTTGCAGGCCCTGTGGAGTAAGGGAGGCTCTGCTCTTACCACGGTGGTGTTTGGGTGGCTTCTTGATGGGAGGGTCCTGTGGAGGAAGGCCCCCAGCCTGTGAGGAGAGATGGTCAGTCAGATCCCTGCAGATGCCTGAGGGAGGAGGATGCTGGGCTGGAAAGACCTCAGAGCTGGTCCCTGCCACCTGGAAGGCAAGTGGGGAACACTGAAAACCACTGCCTGGAGCCTCTTGAAAGATTCTCCTGACGATTTCAGAAGGAAGAACCAACCATCATGTTTGTGATGGACTTGCCCCCACATCCCTGCCCAAATCTGTGTTGAAATCCTAACTCCCAATGTGATAGTGTTAGGAGGTGGAGCCTTTGAGAAGTAACTAGGTCAGAGGGGGAAGCCCTCATGAATGGGATTAGTGCCGTTATAAGAAGAGACATGAGAGAGCTTGCTTTCTCTCTCTGCTCTCTGCCTTGTGAGGATACAATGAGAAGAAGGCCATCTGCACACTGGGAAGAGTGCCCTTATCAAACACCAGATCTGCAGGATTCGTGGTCTTAGACCTCCAGACTCCAGAATTGTAAGAAATAAATTTCTGTTATTTAAGCCACTCAGTCTCTGGTAATTCATTATAGCAACCCAGAGTAAGACAATGTTTCAGGTCCACAAAAACAAAGTAGCCCATGCAAGCTTTCAAAGCCACACAAGCTTCTGCTCCTGACATCCTTGTCCTGATTGGCAGGTGTGGTCCTCCTCTGGCCAGGCATATGTGGAGCTGTACTTTTCTCCAATTTTTCTCTCTAGAATCCCTAGTTGTTGTTTTTTTCTCTCTCTCTACCTTGTTTGGTCTCAGCCGCTTATATAGCCAGCATGGTGATGTGGAAAGAGAACTCATCTTGAGTGGGGAGTGAGGGGATCTGGGTCCAGATCCCACCTTTTCTAGGTCTCAGTATTCTATCTGTGTAGTGAGGAATTTGGAATAGATAATCCCTACGGTTCCTTCCATATTCCAAGGAAAACTTTCTTCCCCTCAGTAACAGCTGGAAAATTGTTGAGGTTTTGTGTGAAGACTAGGTGAAGTGGGTAGTTGTGGGGAGGTTTTTTGCTTTAGTATACAGTTTGTATTCTTTTGCACCTGGGCTCTGTTATCATTTCTCTGAATAGCATCTCCTATTGAGCATAACATATCCACTAGTTAAGAAGCCCTGATGGAGTACCCACTCTGGATAGGGCACAACGCCAAGCATTTTCACGGAACATAGAGGGCACGTCCCTGCTGTCAACATGCTCACTACCTCAGCAGGAAGACACAGATGGTTTGCCTGCTGAGGTCATCTCAGCATACCCTGGTTTTTGCCAACACTGTTCCTTTCCAGGCCAGACTAACAGACCCTCTAAGGGTTATGCAATCTTAGAAGACAGCAGAGGTGGCCTGGAGAAGCCAGGGAAGGCTTCCTGGACCAGATGAGGCTGTAGCTGAGTGATTTAATAGAAGTGGAATGACTCAAGAGAAAGAGAGAAGAGTGTACAACAGCCTTGCAGAAGAAAAGAGGACAGATATGTGTGTGTGTCAAGAGGATTGGCTTGTACACTTGGCATATAATAAGCTTTCATTAAATATTTGATGGCTGATGTGTGAATGAATGCTGTAAGATAGCTGTAGAAGATGTGTGTGTAATGCCTAAATTTGAACTGATATAGGTATTAGCTTTGGAATTATTTTTACTTATTTTATTTTTAAGTTTTTTTTTAGAGACAGGGTCTTCCTCTATTGCCCAGACTGCAGTGCAGTGGTGTGATCATAGCTTATTGAAACTTCAAACTCCTGGGTTCAAGTATTCTCCCATCTTTGCCTCCTGATTGGTTACAGGTGTGCACCACCATGCCTTGCTAATTTGTAAATTTTCTGCTAGAGAAAGGGCCTTGCTATGTTGCTCAGGCTGGTCTCAAACTCCTGGCCTCAAGTGATCCTCCTACCTTGGCTTCCCAAAGTGCTGGGATTACAGGTATGAGCCAACATGCCTAGCCTGGAATTATTTTTAAAAATTATATTTTTTCTCTCCTACAAGTCAAGTGCAGAACAAAAAGAGCTAAACAAACAAAAATGCAACAACAAAAATCTCTGAATAAGTGGCTGTTGGCAACTTTACTGTACGACTGAGGAAGAAGGACTTAATTTAGATCACTTTTTAGTGAGTTTAAGCCCACCCACCCGCCTTGTCCAGAGAGGGTCCCAGAGCACAGAGCACTATGTCCCTTGACACGGCCCACCTGCTCTCTGGAAGAAGAGATCCTGCTGGCACAAGACAAGGGCTCCTTGAGGACAGTGGCCTGCCCTGGCTGCCTGGAGGGCCCTTGCTCCCTGGCCTGGGGACGCCGTGCCTTGCCCTCCTCTAACTCCAGGTTCCTCCTCCTGAAGAACTGCTGCAGTCGAGCTCTCTGGAGCTGCTCTCTCTGCTGGATCCTCAGCGTCTTCCCCACCTGGCGGCAAGTGGTCACGTTGGGACGGCAGCGGCGGCTTTCACGGGTCTCTTGCCGGCGCTCACACTTGGCCTCATAGCTCTCAGCCCACCGGGCCAAGCCAGGGGAGGGCCTGGGGTCCGGGCTGATCATGATGACCTCCGAGCACCTGTTGCACTTGGCTTCCAGTTCCTGGAATAGATGCCTGGATCTGCCAAATGCCAAGAGGGAGGAGAAGGGGAGGGGTCAGAAGATAGGCAGAAAAATGACTCTCTAAACCAGGGGGCAGAAATAGCACAGACTTCCATCCATGTGGGTTGAAAACTGAGGACATGGTGGTATCAAACGGAGTCAGGACTCCTGGGCTCAGTCTCTAGTGAACTAATACAATCTTATGAAAGCGAATTGCTGCTTTTCTCTAGCCAGTGTTTCTCCTTTGTAAAGTAAAAGGGTCTCTGTGGCTGCGACTTACTCCTTGACTGAACATCTTACCATGCCTCTAAGGGGAGCATGAGAAATTGATTAAAATCACAATGAGCTTATAGCCTCTTAGATGGCAGGTGTGTGTTCATTTTCCAGACGTGTAAAGAAACAGCTAAGTTGAGCCCCTCTGCCCTCTCATCCCCCGGTTGAAAAGGAAAGTCAGTATCTTTACTGCTGTCTTGGTCCAAGTTGTTACTAACATAGTTGAGTGACACTTCTCAAGATCTGGAGGGATAACCAGACCCTCTCAGGTGGTGACCAGTCCTGTGACCAGCACCCACTGCTCTTTTCTTGACTTAGCAACTAGCTGGTGAGCCTGGACCTGGCATGGTTTAGGAGGGAAACCCTACCCGAATTCCTCCAACCTGCTGTCCTGACAATTGTCCATGGGCCCCCCACTTCCAGCTCAGGACTGGGCTCTGTCTTTCAGGGACAGATCAAATCCAGTCAGTACTGCCACATGCCTACTGCTGGCCAAAATCCATTTTGGAGCATCTGATTCCAGTGCTCTTGGAGCTAGGGGTTCCATTTCTTTAGGATCACCTCCCTGTCAGGGCTAAGTCTGGTGCCAATTCTGCTTTCCTGAGCCCAGACACAGATTGTGCCATCCAAACCCACCAGCACATGAATTATACCTCAATGAGCCTGCTGCGTACAGAGAAGAGACAAAACAAAAACAGTAACCAGAAGTTGCCAGGGAGCCAGGCTCGGTGTGGGGGCCACAGAATGCTCCTCTGCATGGCCTTACCTGGTCTTCACATAGCACTCAGACCAGAACCGCCTTTTCCTTCTCTGCCTTTCTCTTTCCTACTCACCCCCACCTACCTTCTGCACTTTATCCTCCTAGAACCCTCTGGTCACTTTGCTGAGTTGGGCTGGACTTGGATGAGCTGGATCCTGAGGGCTGGAAATTCTGTGTCCTGCCTCCTCTGATCACTGGAGTCAGACCAGGGACTGATGAAGGAAGAGGGACTCCCCCTCACAGCTGCTGCTGCTTCTCTCCTCCCACGACCTCATTACCCACCACCCTGGGAGGAGGGTATCTCAGTTTCGCCAACAAGCAGGCATTTGCTAGCTCTAACCCCTCGGGGTTTATTTATAGGCCAAATAGACTCAACAGGTAACAGCGTCTCTGCCCCTTTACTGGGAGTTTGCTATCCTGGCTCAGTTGGGAATTCTCTGCAGGATTCTTGTTTTCTCTCTGATCCTACCACTCATTCCCCAGGGGCGTGGGTGGGGCAGTCTTCTTCTCTAAGAGGAGTTTTGTGTGGTCAAGCCATGGACACTCAAAAGCCTCTGACTTTTGAGGGTTGGAGGGGTGTGTTCTGGTGTCAGGCAGCATTGATTGCAAGAAGAAATGTGAGGTTGTTAATGTTTGTCCACTACATGCCCATTCTGAATGGCTCTCTTCTTTCTTTAGTCATTTCTCCCCACTCCTACTTCTTGGATAAGGGTGGGAGTAGGCATAGGGGGTGGTTTGTTGACTTCCTCCCTGCCACTTTCTTTATTTAAAGACTTTAGAAAAGGATCTGAGAGACCCAGGTATATTGTTATAAATGACTGAATGGAGGAGACTCAGGATTATGTGCATATGAACTCCATGTCTAGAGCCTACTCTCACAGCATCCCTGAGCCATAGCCCTGGGCTATTCTGCCATAGATTGCAGTGGAGAGCCCTGGCTCTTGGAGTCACACTGTGTGGACTCATATGCTGGCTCTGTCACCTATTACTTGTGTGTGTGTTTTTAGGTAAGCTACTAAATATCTCTGAGCCCCAGTCTCCTTATTTATAAAATGGGGCTAGAACCTGCCTTGTAGGTTATAAGGATTAAATGAAAAATGCAGGCCACGCACCTGGCATGTAGCACACAAAAATGTTAGCTTTTAATAATAAAAACATAAAGTATTATTATTAGGTTGGTGCAAAAGTAATTGCAGTTTTTGCCATTAAAAATAATGGCAAAAACCAAATATTATCCTTGTTATGCCGATGTTGGATGTTGAAGACTTGGTTGTGTAAGACCAAGGCTCCAAGCTGAAGTAGCACTCCTAGGACCAGGAATGCCCCCTGTCATGTCTCTCTCAACCCTCTCTCTTCGATGGAGGATATTGTTTACCAGATTGAGGGGATCCTGGTCCCAGGTTGAAGTCACATTTACTTCTCTGGTTCCTCTGACCTCTGGGTTTGGGCTCTAAGGACAAAGGGCTTCTCTGTGGTCTGGACATAATCGCCATCCTAATTACACCTAGCAGAAAGGCAAGGAAGAGGTGGGGTCTGCCTGCATCCCACATAGGGTATGAGGTCCCCTCCCTGTTTGGCTCCAGCTTCGCCGCAGGTTTTGTAGTAGAGGCAGAACATTGAGAATCCTCCTACCTTCTTGCCTTGAAGAGGAAAGGGCTATGGGGGAGAAGACAGGGCCTGAGATGAGGCCTCTCTGGGCTCTCCACCCAGGCCACCCACCTTTGTCCACTGAGACACATATCTGCTTTCTGCTTCCTCAGGGCAGACATTGGGCCTTCTTACCCAAGAAAGAAGCTGCAGTGGAAATGGCTCCTTAGAGAGGGGAGTGTTCCCAGAGGCCTGGGCTACCATACCTGCTAGGATGTGGTGTGGCATGCTGCATAGAACTCCACCCAGGTTTCCGGGATGTCTGGACCCTACTGACT